AGCAATATAAAATGTGTAGCTAACTTTGCTAAAATTGAGTTGAAATGTAGCTCTTGCTTGATGTTGATGAGCGGTAGCTCTCCGTCACCACGGGCTGCTTGGAAATGTCTGAAATAAAAGAGCAATGTTGTTAATAGATTGACGATGAATAATAGGTAAATATCTGTTTATACAATAACCTAACTAATGATAGTGGTAAAATACTAGCTATATATTGATTATGGATAGCAACTTACAACATGTTGGAAATGATACGTAGCCTCTTGATTAATATGAGTGGACGATCCTCTATAGGCAGGGGCTGCAGATATCTGAAAATGAAAAGAATAAGAGTGATAGGCATAAGTATAAAATAATAGCGTAGAACCGCGTGCTATACATAGATGTTAATAAATGAGTGTTAAATAATAATATATACATAATAAAAGTGATATTAGAATAATAATAAATAATTATTATAATATTGGAAAACAGTAATAAATGATTTCAAAAGTCGAGATGAAATAGCTAGCGAAGATAGTGATAATTAACAGGAAGCGCGGTATAATCTATTTTATAGCGTAATTATAAATAAATAATATAGAATACGTACTTTAACTCTGAATAAATTGTGCTGACATGCAGCCCAGGAGTGGTGCGGATGAGCGGCAGCTCTCCGTCATCACGGGCTGTGTGGAAATATCTGAAATAAAATAGTAATGCAGTTAGGAATTGTAAACAGTAAATACAACGATGGCTAAAGATTAAAACAGTCTGACGATAGATAATGGGCAAATATTTACTTATATAATAAATGATCCGTTAATAGATGCAAAATATGTTACTTACATAATAGTTAAAAATAAATAAATAAATAGTAACCCATAACATGCTGAAAATTGTGCGTAGCCTTTTGACTAATGCGAGCAGGCGACTCTGTAATGTCAGGAATCGCAGATATCTATAAAAAGAAGGAATTAAATATTAATGTAGAATCGTGTATGATACATAGATGTTAATTAATAAGAGTCAGATATGATAATAAAATGATGTTTTGCATCCTGACGATGGAGTTGATCCTGCACTGCGCAACAGGATTGGATGTATATCACGGTACCGTGAAATATTGAAATATTAAAACATCGAAATCCTGAAAAGAAGTCAAAACTGAATACTGTACATATTCGTGTATATATATATATATATATATATATATATATATATATATATTATAAGCAATATAAAATGTGTAGCTAACTTTGCTAAAATTGAGTTGACATGTAGCTCTTGCTTGATGTCGATGAGCGTTAGCTCTCCGTCACCACGGGCTGCTTGGAAATGTCTAAAATAAAAGAGCAATGTTGTTAATAGATTGACGATGAATAATAGGTAAATATCTGTGTATACAATAATCGAACTAATGATAGTTGTAAAATACTAGTTATATATTGATTATGGATAGTAACTTACAGCATGGAAATGATACGAAGCCTCTTGATTAATATGAGTGGACGATCTTCTATAGTCAGGGGCTGCAGATATCTGAAAATGAAAAGAATAAGAGTGATAAGCATAAGTATAAAATAATAGCGTAGAACCGCGTGCTGTACACAGATGTTAATAAATGAGTGTTAAATAATAATATATATATTGTCACCTGATAGAGGAGTAGATTCTGCACCACGCAACATGATTTGATATCACAGCCTTACTGAAATATTGATACCCTGGAAAGATAAAAGATAAAAGTTAATCTTGTGTATAAGCGTGTGTATATGCATTAATAGCTATTAATTGATGCGTTAAATGTCAGGTTTGACAACCATAAGCGAGTACACGTTATTTAATTAATTAATTATGGATAGGATGTAATAATAGGAATAATTTATGATTAGTTACATAGAACAATTACAAGATGAGAATATGAATAACAATAGAGTGTCAGTGGTGTACTTACAGTATATAATAGAGCGTGAAATGCATAGGTTAGCTTTTGGGAGACTACTCTCCTCCCCTGCATCCTCTGTTCTTAATGGGGGGCGGGCAGCGTGATTAATTAATAATTAATAGATGTCTCCTGTATTACACTGGGAGATGCGTATCTCGGACCGACATGTATCGAGCATGACACGCGATTGCTTCACTTCACGGAGCGGAGGCTGTTTCCCGATGCACTGCAGCTTTCTGCAAGAATAAACAACTGTTAGGATGATAATTAAAGAATCCGCACAGCACTAATTAACCGATAATCGAAGCAATAACGCGATGTACGAGACTGTGACGCGAGAATGTATACGTGCAGCGGCCATCTTGAGAGCATCAGGTATCGCGTTCGTAAATGCAGCGTGCGGGCGCGTTCACACGTGCGACCGAAGTTGAGGCCGATTCTCAAGCGGAACAATATCACTAGCGGACAGGAATCAATACAAGATGGATGCATATAGTTAAAATTGTAAATTATAATGTTTAATATGCTTTATATTATTAATGTATAAATATTAATGTTAAATAATAATAATGAGTAGAAGAAATATCGTAAGGTACACGTGTGGCGGCCATCTTGTGAGCATTACGTGTCGCGCTCATAGACGTGGCATGCGGGCGCGTTCTTACGTGCGACTGGAATTAATGCCGATTCTTATCCGGAATAATATTGCTAGTGGACAAGAAGTAATACAAGATGGACGCATAAACTGTAATAATTATAATGTTTATATGTTTTATACTGTGTAAATATTAAGGTAAATAATAATAATTAATAGAAGAATATTTGTTCGCGAGCGGATCCGGCAAGAGATTGCGTGAACGTGGAGGATAGACCAGTGCAGTGAAACTCGTGATATTCACACAAACAATAGTTTATTAGAGTTCAACGATGACCGTGACAAGTGTACAGTGCAACGAGCGGTGCGACAAGCGAAGCGGTTAAACTCGCGGGAGATCGCGAGCGGCGTGACAGATCGTGCGTGCGGAAAATCAAAGTCCGAGAAGAATAGCGGTTGACGTATAATATTTGCGGTTTGACTGAGCGGTAAGATTAAGCGGTATAGTAAGCGAAAAGTGCGAGACTTCCGCGTGCCCTCTCGCTGGGCTCATTATATACCGGGCGGATTTTGGGCCCCGTTGCGACGTGGCCCAATTAACTTTGAAATTTGGCGGTGACCTCATGGCGCCACGCATAATTGGCCGCCGATGAGGTCAGGAAATAGCGTTGTAGCGTTTGCCATGCGCACGACCTTTTTCGATCAGCTGATTGGCCATCAGCTGATCGTGACGTATGGGCGCGCATGCCCGTATGTTGTTTTAGTTTGACGGCGGTTGACAATGTTATTGTCAATCGCTCAATTTCAAGCGTTTTTATGCGGTGCAAAAACGAGCGGTGATTCGAACGTTCGAGTTTTTGTTTACCGAACGAAAGCTCGAGAAAGTTCTCGACGCCCGTTAGATTTGAAATACGGATTTTAGCAACGCGAAATTTTACATTGAGATAATCGATTACGCATCTCGAACATCCCGCCCGCCTCGTCAGCGCGTGACGAAATTCGCGAGTATGAACGGGGACGGACAGATGTCGCGAGCGGTTCAGTTGGCGGTATCTGGATCGCGATCGATGAATAGAATGTGTGACGCAATACGATAACACGTGTTGTTCAGTTGATTTCTATCTTTCGCGAGACTAAGAGTTGCGGTAGTGAAATACGGTAATATTTACAGTGAAATAATGAAAAGTAGTGCGATGTGAAGTGCAATGATTGATAGGGATCAATTGTGCATCGCTCGGGGATGCACAATGTACAGTGAGTGGGTGACTAGTGATATGCGAATGGGGAAATCGCGGCGAGAACGCGAGATGGACGACGGACAGCTGTAATAAAAAATATATACACGATATATACAATAGGTACAATATAATGAGGCGCGCAAGACTCTACGCAACGCGGGGAGAGTAGTGCCCGAGCATTATTCGTCTACGGACGCGCGAGCCTCCTTGACTCCCGGTAAAAGGACGAGTTTTACGACTGGCCGAACGAGATCCGAGGTGGAGGTGCGGACAGTCACAACGCGGACCGTGCCATCGCTTCCTGGATGCAGCGTGTTCGCGCGAGGGGCCATCGGGAAGGCGGGGTGATCTCCGAGCGGATGAGGCACAATGCTCCGACCTCCGGAGCGGGCTCGGAGTTGAGCGATTTTGATCGAGGTGCCAAGGCGTGGACATACTCCTGAGACCATCGCTGCCAGAAGTGGTCACGCATTCGTTGCAGCAGCTGCCACCGGGATAGGGCGTTCGGAGGCCGTTCGGCTAGGGAAGGCTTTGGGACCGCCAGTAGAGAGGCGCCTATTAGGAGATGCCCTGGAGTCAATGCGGTGATGTCGTCGGGGTCATCTGATAAAGCCTGCAATGGACGAGAATTTAAACATGTTTCGATTTGTGAAAGAAGAGTACTCATCTCCTCGAAGGTGAGCGTAGTCTCTCCTATCACCCGTCGCAGGTGATGTTTCATGGATTTCACCGCCGCTTCCCAGAGGCCTCCGAAGTGCGGCGCGGCGGGAGGATTGAAGCGCCAGGATATTCCTTCCTTGGCGACTTCCCGAGAGATGCGACGGCCGTCGGAAGACGACGCGCGGAAGAGTTCTCGGAGTTGGTTGTCCGCTCCGATGAAGTTAGTTCCGCAGTCCGAGTACATTTCCTCGCACAGTCCGCGACGGGAAATGAACCTGCGGAATGCTGCGAGGAAGGCGTCAGAGGAGTAGTCAGATGCTACCTCAAGATGGACGGCTCTGGAACAGAGACAGACGAACACGGCTATGAACGCCTTGTGAGCTCGATGTCCTCGCCCCTTGGAAGTGCGGAGGAATATCGGGCCAGCGTAATCGACTCCTGTCCTCAGGAAAGGGCGTGCTGGAGTGACTCGCCCTCGAGGGAGGTCGGCCATGAGGGGCCGTGGAGTGTGGGCTCGCCAGCGGGTGCATGTCACGCACCGGTGCAGTGCCCGCTTGATTACTGCTCGACCTTGCGGCACTCAGAAGCGGAGGCGAAGGAGCCCCAAAGTGAGCTGAGTGCCTCCATGAAGCGTCCGGCGGTGGCAAGACTCTATCACGAGCTTGGTGAGCCATGAAGTGGGCGGCGCTATCATAGGATGTCGTTCATCGTAAGTGAGTATTGCGTGTTTCAGGCGGCCGCCGACGCGCAGGATCCCGTCGTCGTCGATGAATGGATGCAGCCTGGCCAGGTGGCTACCGCGAGGCACTGGGCGAGACTCTCGTACGGCGGCTAGTTCAGCGGCGTAGTGGATCCCTTGGACGATTCTCAGCCAGCGAATGAGGGAGGCGTCAAGCTCGTCCGAGAGCAGTGCGACGCTGGGAGGATGACGAGCGGTCCGGCGCCAACGAAGACACCAAGCAGAGACACGTAAGAGCCTATGCAGTGTCGAGAACTGTAGGAGTATTTCAGGCTCCGGTCTGACCTTGCCGATGGCCGTTAATACCGTGGTTTTTGTTTCAGGAACGCTGACCATTGATGCCTCGTCGCTGGCTGGCCATAGTGACGAGTCGCCGAGAAGCCAGCAGGGGCCCTCCCACCATAGGGGGTGGTTCAGCAGATCCCTCGGAGCGATCCCTCTGTAAGCACAATCGGCAGGATTCTCTTGACCCGGGACGTGTCGCCACTGCGCTTCGGGGAGCCGCTCCTGGATCAGCGACACTCTATTGGCCACGTAGGTTTTCCACCGTGAAGCATGACCCTTGATCCAGTGGAGGACAACCTTGGAGTCGGACCAGAGATATACTGGCGCCGACACCTCCAACGATGACCGGAGGTGGTGCACGAGATTGGTCAGCAAGGAGGCAGCGCAGAGTTCCAGCCGTGGGAGCGTCACGGGCTTAATCGGCGCGACCTTGCTTTTCGCGGCCAGTAAGTGGATGGACGTCTCTTCCGTACTGGACACGCGAAGGTAGGCGACGGCCGCGTATCCACGCTCAGACGCGTCGGCGAAGCCGTGGATCTCGACCGTCGGATCCTGACGAATGACACCCAGCCAGCGCCTTATTCGGAGGTGCTCCAGCAAATGGAGCTCGGAGAGGAGGCGCTGCCAAGACTGAGCGTCCTCCGCTGGGAGCGGAGAGTCCCAGTCCAGCCTTTTCAACCATGCCGACTGGATTAAGATCTTGGCGCGGATGATCACAGGAGCGAGCCATCCCAAGGGGTGCCGTTGCAATAGCCGTGCCGTTTCCGCCAGGACTCGCCTTTTAGTGAATTCGCCAGTGCTTCGAGGCTGGATGGCGAAGGAGAAGTCGTCGCTGGCTAGATGCCAACGCAGGCCTAAGGTGGAGTGTACCTCGCTCTCCCAGGAATGGTGTGCCTGTTTGAGTCGATGATCGGGAGGAACACCCTCAAGGATGGCCTCGCTATTGGCGGCCCATTTCCGCAGCGGAAACCCGCCCGCCGTGCAGAGCTCTCGGAGCTCCGTCTGCAGGGCGACCGCGTGCTGCAAGGTGTCCGACCCGGTGATCACGTCGTCCATGTAGCAGTCATGGCGCAGAGCGGTTGCTCCCTTTGGGGCTCGTGCCTCTTCGTCGGCCGCCAATTGGTGGAGAGTGCGGACAGCGAGGATCGGAGCACAGGCGAGCTCGTAGATCACGGTGTTCAGCTCGTACTCTTGGATCTTGCCGGAAGCCTTTGGACGCCAGAGTATCCGCTGGAAGCGACGATCTTCAGGGTGGACGAGTATCTGCCGGAACATCTTCTCGATGTCGGTGACGAACACGAAGCGGTGCCGGCGCCAGCGAAGGAGGACATCAGCTAGTGCTGGCAGCAAGTTGGCGCCGATCAGCAGATGACGGTTGAGGGAGTCCCCCGAGGCGGTACGTTGCGACCCGTTGAAGACGACGCGGAGCTTGCTGCAGGAGTTGGACTGGCGGAGGACTCCGTGGTGAGGTAGGTAGCATCCTGCGGTACCGACCGTATTCACAGGACTCATGTGTTTCAGGTCCTCGTATTCCTGCATAAACTCCCGATACCGGACGCCGAACTCAGGATCTCTCTTGCTCTGAAGGTCCATCGCTGACAAGAGGCTTTCAGCCGGTTTACGGGTTCCACCAAGCGACGTTGGCGGGGAAGAAAACGGGAGTCGTACTACGTATCTTCCGGACGCCATTCGCTGGTGAGTACTTATGAAGAGGGTCTTGCACTCTTGATCCTCCGGTCTAAGGGCAACAGAGGAGGGGAGTTCCCTTTCCTGCTCCCAAAAGCTGTGCACAAGCTGATTGAGCTCTTGGTCGACAGTGCACTGCAAGGAGTTACGGGGTCCTTGGAAGGGTGCTGCGCTGGACTCCCCTGACAGGATCCATCCCAGGGCTGTTTTCTGGGCGACGGGATCTTGAGGACCACCCTTGCGAAGGCCGACCTCAAGGATGGTTGAGCAGACTTCCGCGCCCAACAATAGTTCTACCGGATCGAGCTCCTGATACCTGGGGTCGGCGAGCTCAAGACCATGGACGTGAGGCCAGGAGGGGAGGTTCTTCACCGAAGAACCCTGATAGGCCGACAGGCGTGGTAACACGAAGGCGACGGCCTTGAGTTTGGCCCCGGTGATCATCGAGGAGAGACTGAGTGCCACTTTCCCGCGGGTTGACCCGGATCGTGATTCGCCGATGCCGATTATGGACACTGAGGAGCGGGAGCGGGGAAGTCTCAGCCGTTGGACCAGTGCTTCGGAGATGATCGACACCTCGGATCCTTGATCGAGCATCGCTCGGACCGGATGAAGATCCCCGGCGCGGTCAGTGAGGTGCACGCGAGCTGTCGCGAGGAGGATCGTTTTACGCTCAGACGAGGAGTGCATCGCAGACAGGGCGTTCACCTCGTTGGAGGAGGGCAAAGTGTAGGCTTCGTGCAGTGTAGTGTGGTGCTTGCTCTTGCACGTCAGACAGGTCTTCACAGACTGGCACTTGGAGATCATGTGGTTCCCGAGACAGTTGTAGCACAGTCTACCTTGCTCCACAAAGGACTTTCAGTCTATCGCGGACTTCGCCTTGAAGTCGTTACACTGCATGAGGGTGTGCTTCCCCTGGCACAGTGCGCACTTCAAGTGATCGGATCCGGTCTTTGTGTGGTGAGCTTTCGCGGTTTGCGACGCGCCATCGGAGTTTGGTTGCGATACTCGTGGCCTAGCGGCGTTTAGCGTGAGAATGCGCTTAGCGATGAAATTGACGAGAGCGCCGTGGTCTGGCGGGTCAGTGGAGTCGCAGGTCGAGGACTCCCATTCCATCCGTGTACGCGAATCGAACAATTCGACGGTGAGAAAATTGAGGAGATCCATACCGTGGGAGTTGATGGGTCTCCCTATACTCTCCTGCGCGTTCACCGCGGTCGTTACGGCGTTGTGAATGCGACCGAGTTCTCCCGCTGACTCGCACTTCATTTTGAGAACGGAGGTGAACGCGGCGAAATTAGAACGGATAAGCTCCCTCTTGTTCTCGAAGTGCTTGCACAAAATCGTCCAAGCGCGATGGTAATTATCACCGGTTACCGTTAATGATTTTATCAATTTTTCAGCGGCTCCCTTGACACAAGACCGGAGGTAGTGAAATCGCTCGATGTCGGAGACTGACGCATTCGCCCCGATGACTGATTGGAAGAGGTCGCGGAATGACGGCCATTCTTCGTAAGATCCCGCGAACGTCGGAAGCTTGATGCGCGGCAACGAGGTTTTAGGAGCCCGATTGTGGTCCGACTCGCCTCTGAGCGCGGCGGGCGTCTCGCCCTTAAGCTTCTCAGCGTAGCTGGTCAGCGTGCTACGTTGTGTCACGTAAGTATTCTCCGCGACTTCAATAAAATCAGATACAGCGTACTCACTCTCCTGGTACTTGTCCTTCAGCGCCGCACGAATGAGCTCATGCTGGGTCTCCATTTTTTGCCAGAGATTGTCCAGGATGCCGAGGCGAGCTTGGATGGCGTCGCGGGTGATGTTGCTCACGCCCATCTTCCTCAGATTGTCCACGGCGCGGGAGATCCGACCATGAATGTCGTGCTGCGCTTCCAGCAGCACCTTCACTTCAGCACTCATGTCTAATATCCCTTTTGTCTTTTCAGAGATCACTTCACTCCACAAACTGCACGAGAGGATCACTCACGAAACACCGGACGCGGATGATGGAAAAGATCCGGCTCGAAGGACCAGAAATGTTCGCGAGCGGATCCGGCAAGAGATTGCGTGAACGTGGAGGATAGACCAGTGCAGTGAAACTCGTGATATTCACACAAACAATAGTTTATTAGAGTTCAACGATGACCGTGACAAGTGTACAGTGCAACGAGCGGTGCGACAAGCGAAGCGGTTAAACGCGCGGGAAATCGCGAGCGGCGTGACAGATCGTGCGTGCGGAAAATCAAAGTCCGAGAAGAATAGCGGTTGACGTATAATATTTGCGGTTTGACTGAGCGGTAAGATTAAGCGGTATAGTAAGCGAAAAGTGCGAAACTTCCGCGTGCCCTCTCGCTGGGCTCATTATATACCGGGCGGATTTTGGGCCCCGTTGCGACGTGGCCCAATTAACTTTGAAATTTGGCGGTGACCTCATGGCGCCACGCATAATTGGCCGCCGATGAGGTCAGGAAATAGCGTTGTGGCGTTTGCCATGCGCACGACCTTTTTCGATCAGCTGATTGGCCATCAGCTGATCGTGACGTATGGGCGCGCATGCCCGTATGTTGTTTTAGTTTGACGGCGGTTGACAATGTTATTGTCAATCGCTCAATTTCAAGCGTTTTTATGCGGTGCAAAAACGAGCGGTGACTCGAACGTTCGAGTTTTTGTTTACCGAACGAAAGCTCGAGAAAGTTCTCGACGCCCGTTAGATTTGAAATACGGATTTTAGCAACGCGAAATTTTACATTGAGATAATCGATTACGCATTTCGAACAATATTGCAGGCGTAAATGTACAGCGGCCGTCTTGTGAGCAACATGTGTCATGTTCGTAAACGCGGTATATTGTAATATTTTATATGTTTCATATTATTATTGCTATGTAAATAGTAATGTAATAATAAACAAGGCGATTATATATAATGTTATTATATTAAATAAATAGAGTATATATATATGTAAGGCGAAGCGGCGGCGCATATCCCCTGGCCGCTTATTGGTCGGACGGATCTCTGCGCTGAATGGCTAATATCGTCAGAAACAAGGCTCGTAGGGCAAAAAGGAGCGCAGATTCATATTCGCCAATTAGTGAAGAGCTCTGAAATGAGTAGCGTTGGCACAAATTTTGGACGCTGCGCAGTAGGAGGGGGTGCTTTGGGGAGGATGCGCGGCGGGTGATCTATGGTCACTCAGGCTCCCCCCAACCCCCTATGGTATTAGAATTTTGATCAGGCTGCGCAGTAGATTCGACGAATTAAATTTGGATGCGCAATGGGTGGAACGCAAATTAGGCGCCCTCGACAACATGATAGCGTGCTCATATCTTAAATTTTAAATTATTATTAAATAAGCTGCAGAAAGCGGAGCGTGCGTGGCAACAACGCCAGTTTTGAATAGACTGTGACGTGGCCGTCCCGTCGCGTCTATCCGCCCCGGCAATTTTGACGGGGCGCGAGCCGAGTGGCCGCGCCAAAGGTCAAGAGAGAGAGAGAGAGCTACCGTACTCCCCGGAGAGACGAGCGAATTAGAGTAATTGTGTATCCGATTAATTGTTTTTTTTGTATTTCTTTTAATAATTGCATCGAGTCTGAGGCACCTCACCACCGAACACCGAAGACCTGGGGAGAACAACATCACCTCCCCACGACAGCGAGGAACGACAGCCAAAGGACATTCCTGAGAGCGGAGGATCCTGTCCCGGAAAGCCCGGCATGATGGGTCCGGACAGGGGAAGACAGCATAGCCTCCCCCTCGACAGCCAGGAATGACAGCCGCGGCGATAGCCATCCTCCTGGAGAGGATACGTCCGGGAAGGACCTCACCCGGGCCATATAAGGGCCCGCGGCCACATTCAAGTTTGGCGCTATTTCGCGCGGGGCGCGATAATGCGTCGCGTGGCGCGCGAGGCGCCAGGACCTCGCGCGTGTCGGCCGCTAATTGGCCAGGGGTCCGCGCATCCCCCTGCGCGGCCAACGACCCCGCTATCGACCCTGGATCGAGAGATCCAGGGCTCACTTTGTCGCAGCCGCTCGACTCGTATAGGCGAAGAAGTGTAGTATTATATACTGTGTTGTCGTGTGGGCTCGAGACGATACCGAGGACGAGACCGAGGATCATCCCCGCAGCCGGGAGAAGACTTCATCGGTGAGGTTGCCCACGAACATTGCGTACCGCGTAAATAATTGTGTCCGCTCGCCGGCCGTTCTGTCGCCGTCGCCATTACGGCTTATCGCGACCGCTCGAGCCTTCTGCCGAGTCGGTCGATTTTGGTGTATTTCGGGCGACCGGAGACAAGCGACCGAGAAAGCGCGGACACTAGTGACGGAGGTGCGATCGTAGGGTAATTCTTGTCTCTCTCCGGGTATCAGGGTGCGTAATACGCGTAGCATTCGACCATTGGATATCGACCGCGTGCGTCGTAAATCGCGAGAAATGCGTAGTTCGCACGGGCTGTCGTTGGTTGTCGAAGCCGCGTCTCGCATTTCTGAAATATGTCTCAGAGCGAGTCTGTGGAAGTAATTAGTCGTGATTAATGAGTCTTCGTGTATTCTAATGGTCGTTCGTGAATCTTGAGCGAAACTGAGTATTATGGTCGCGTTTATTGTGTGCGTGTGAGTTATCCGTCTCACAAGAAGGAACGTAATTCCTCGAAATTGTCGCGGTGTGCGGGTATCGCACGATTCTAAGTATTGAGATCCGAGGTCAGGAAATTCCTGGCGAATATCGCGGCTATCGAAGGAGGCGCGGTGCGGGACTGTCGCCCGGCCTTCCTTATTTCCTTGATACGAGAAGATTATTAATTCTCGCGCTGTCGAAGGTATCGGGGGTGTGACACGACATTGTCGCATCGCCCCGATTGCCAGAAATATTTGAGTTGCGAGCGTCGCCGAAAAAGGCGGAAAAATCTCCGACCGCCGCCGGCTATCGAACTTCGCCGGTATCGTCCGCCCGTCGTATGCGAGATCTCTCCTCGCGGAATTAATATCTCTCCCGTATGGCGTAACTAATCGGCTATCTGATTTCGGGGTTGTCGACTTCGAGTACGCTCGGAGGAAAATTGCGAGATACGCAGCTACTTAGAAAGATCTCCGCGAGGCTGTCGAAACTGCGAAGGATAGGCAGGTATTATCGCACTCTCTCTCTCTCGCGCGTGATACGACCGTTATCGAGAATTTGAGTTATCAGGGTTCTGTATAGGAATTATTGTTCTCAGGAAGCTTCCGTAATAGACGCGCTTGGGTAGACCGCCGTAGAATATCGCGCGTTTTTCGAGCGTTTCGGGAATTATTGTCAGTCCATGTCTAGTACACTGTCTCTGTTTTCCGTTTGTATCGATTTTTACTTCTTTTTGTTAATCACTTATATTATCATTTTCTCTCTTAATAAATCTGTTATTTATTTTTATTAAATCTCGCGTTCTTTATTTGATTGGCGATCGTCCGTAGTTTCTGTGTCCGTCTTTGTCTGTTAATTCTATAAGCTCGCTCAATCAATTCACTTTTTCTTGCAAACCCCGCCCCTCTACCGTTAGGCAAGCTAGCCCGCCCGTGGCGAAGCGGGCTGTTGTATTCTTTCGCGTTTTTCGAAGAATTTGTGAAACTGGTACGTGAGAGACCGTACCTGGCGCCCAGTTCTGAGGTAACGAGATGGCCTTTGCTCCGCCGCGGCTCGCGCGTGGCCACCCTCCATCCCCGTCCCACCGATCGCGAGTACATAAACCCTTGTGTTTTTGACGGCGCTTCCGCTCCCCCGCGAGAATAAAACATTTAGAATTGAAAAAGCGTCGCAAGACATTAAGTATTAGTATAAGCC